AAACCATCATTACCATCACCGCCCGAACGATCACAGAAAAGATGAGTGGGAGACTGTGCAGAGAGGCTTGGTTGCGAGCGCCTCACAAACTTCTATCGGGTCTGCTCATGGACTTAGCTTTGAGGAGGCGTCCATGAAAATGAGCTCAGTGCCAAAGAAGCACTTTATGAGTGAACAGAGCGATGCGGAACAGCTTTCATCTGAGGAGAGGAAGACAATAGGCAATAGGAAGATCAGAAGGCAGAGGTCTCAGGAACAGCAAAGGAGGGACAAGGCAGTTCGAAAACAGGTGTTATTTGCCTTGGACAAATATCTGAGCTCAAGCGCGGCATTCAGATAAATAATCAGTCGCTAACTGGTCAGTCCACTAGGGAGTCATTCCAGGTCTTCCATCCCTTCGACAAGCAGTTCCCATCGTAGCAGACGTGGCAGATCTGTTCGCCACTTTACTAGGTGCTGTACTCAGTTACATGGGACAGGAGGACTCCAAACGAGTGTCGACCTACAGTCCATGGGATCCCGACTTCGTGGGCCACGCGGCTCATAGACCTTGGCTCGGTAATGATGATGAGGAGGAGGAGAGAAGCAATAGGAAGGTTGGTTAGCATCACACTGCTTAGCATTGTGCGTTGAGCTCTCGCTGGTCTCAGGGGAGTAGTAGGAAGAGCCGGAAATCACGGAAAGGTCAGTCCATGCTGATGCAGAGTGTCGTTGACTTGTTGCAGGTAAGTCGAAGTTTTCTGGACTGCGACGGCGGAAGTATCAGAAGACATATGAAGGGCAGTGGGGGAGGTATGATTGGTCAGCTACTGGGAGCGCATCCAATTTGTGTAGTTATTATCCTGTCTCTCCGTGGAGTGAGGAATGGTCATTAAAAACATATCGCAAAGGAGGCAGATTGAGGGGGCAAAGAGCAGATATGAGAGTAAGGCCGGTAAAGAGAAAAGTATCGATATTACGAATACCCGGCAATAGCTCAGTTGGTAGAGCGTCCGACTGTAGTGATTTAGTCATCGGATGGTCCCTGGTTCGATTCCGGGTTGCCGGACTTGTTATACCTATTTTGTCTTCTATTGGAACTTACTAGCCTTAATCTGCGAGGAACGGCCTTGGCCGCATTCATGAGACGTTCAATCCCTCTCAGAAAGTCCGCCATTTCCAAACTTACTCCCCATTCGATGAGCGATTCGCTACAGCCTGTCGAGTGAGCTTCTATGAGTAGGAACGAGTACCTGTCGGATGTGATACCACTGATTGATTCTTGTTGAATAACGATAGATACGATGATCCTAATGAATGGTTCACGAGCTACTCGCCTGGAATAATAAGTTCCCTCATCGCTTCTCATCTCGA